CACATAAACAAGAGAAACTCAAATAATCACGAGATGTATCAAAATACGGAGCAAAATAAGATGACACATATGAATAAGTGGATCTCGGATCAAATAAGACTGATGCATCCCTATAAAATCGAAACCATACATATGATGACTGCGTCTGATGCTCGTACTTCACTTGTTGACACTTTAGGCATCGAGCCACATACTCTACTATGTCTTTCTTCATTCTCCTCCATCAATAGTGCTGTCTCAAATCCTGATACATTTTCGCGGCACCCGGATTAATGGAGTACCACGAACTGTGGGCCTCTTGAAGGATAAACCCATGTAACCCACCTACACTGGGCATACATAACTGATCCAGTATCCGCACCATACCATCATCACCGATAGAAACATCCTTGGTATCGCCATGCTATACCGTGTCCTTAAGGACAAGTAAGTAGGGGTTGTCATACTAACGCTCTCTGATGCGCTCCTATAAAGAAGACCGAGAAACCACGCAAGCAAGAACCCGACTGGGCTCTGAGACATCCAATCTCACAAACTGATTGGCCAAGGCCTAAATGTCCATGGCTTGTGGTCACTCTGCTGCCAGTAGATATGCCAAACTATCCATACTCTTCGCCTTTCGACTCAAGGCATCGAGCACCATATTGGCCTTCCCGGGATGATACAGAATAGTAATATCATAGTCCTTAAGCAACTCTAACCATCTCCGCTGCCTCTAATTGAGATCCTTCTACGTGAACAGATGCTGGAGACTCTGGTGGTTGATCGGAGCCAACCCTACTAATTACCGTGAAAGTGGTAATTACAATTAGATTTGATTTTGTGGTTCTAAAAATACGTGATCTATTTTTATGCTAGTGTTAGGTAATGGATGCTAAGTAAAAGATTAGAAACCAAGATTGTGGCTTAGAGACGGTATGAGAATCGAACCGAACAGTTGGAGCTCGGGGCCTCGAGCTGTCGTTTATAAGGCCTCGGGGTCGAGTTGGGTGACCGGCTTAGAGCGATCGAGGGAGGATTAACACTTTATGAGGGCTACGGTGATGGCTCTTTATGATCAATGATAAGAAATAAATGAAGAACAATAAATAAAACACCACGAATATAAGCAATAAATGGAAGTAATGAGATCAAGAGAATATGTTAGAGAGCAGAGAGAATGTTCTTGTCTATTTAGTATTGAGCAACAGATGTCTACAAAATGACAAGGATCCCCTTTATATATAAGGGGGAATCCCAACATAGTACAAATTAGGGGTGGCATTTTCAGCCCAAGCCCAACTAACCCGCCCAACTAACCCAGCAAATAATGGGTTGGGCATGAAAGAATTTAACTGATTGGTCATTTTGGGCTGAGCCCATTTCAACTCGTAAAAATAAATAGCCCAACATAACCCGTTTAGGTGCCCAAACTAACCCGTCAAACTCCCAAAACCTAAACGCAAGACAGATGCTTTCTCTCTAACTCTCTTTGCACTCAAAAACAATGCTGTCTCTCTTAACTTCAAAAAAGATCTCCGGCATCTTCCTTTTCTCCAGCGACTTCCTTCTCTCCAGCAGAAGTTCCTTCAGTAGCTGAAGACTGTGAACAACTCCGAGCCGAAGGTCTACTACTAATCTCTTTATGCGTATTTTGTTCTCATTTTTAATACCTGAATTTCTTTTAGCGATTTTCATGAGAAACAGAGGGGTCAGAATCAGACAAGAGATGGCAAAGGGGAGAGTTACATTCGGGGTTGTATTTCATGTGAAGAGTAATAGGGCGGCGAGTCTTGGTTCACCACCGACGTGGTTGAATTGGAAGCCCATTAGTAACTCCACCAGTGTGCTCTTCCCGTCCGTCTGGCGGCTCACTACCAGCACTGTTGGCGCGTCGAATTCCTGAGCTAAACCATGTAGCTCATTGTATTCCTCGTATAGCCTCCATTGCGCTTCCAATTCGTCCATTTTTTTGCTACCGGTCGAGGATTCTGGTGAACTTTCTTCGCCCGCCATTTTTTCTTTATCTTGAACAGTAGGAAAAGCGTACGAGCTATAACGGGTAGTGTGAATAGTGAGTGTGTGACTATTTGTAAAGCTTTTATCTCAAGTTTGGTTCACAATCATTATATTTTTGGTTCACAGATTTAGTCTTGGCTTTGATCTGCTTTTATTCTACATCTAGCAAACTCTTGTTTTCCCTCTGTTTCATATTAACGGACTTATTGTTCTTCAATACAACAATAATAACTAATTTTATAGTATTTAATCTATTGTAGGATCACATTGTGTAAGAAGATGTCGATGGAGCATGATGATGTAGAGTCCAATGAATAAGTGTTTCAAGTTCAAAAAGACAACGTAATACTACTTCTGTTTTTTGGGATTTCTATGAGAAGTTGCCATTGGATACAAATCCTGATAATAGACTTAGAGCTAAATGTAAGAAATGCGGGATAATATTTTTGGCTGACTCAAAAGCTGGAACAACAAATTTAAAGCGCCATCTAGCTAAGCACAAGATTGAAGCATCAAAGCAAGGTACGCCAATTGATCATAAAGAATATCGTGAAGTTGTAGCCAAGGCTATAGTTAGACATAACTTGCCATTTAGCTATGTGGAATATGAAGGG